ATATAATTTTCTATATCAAGTATCCTTCACATCATACGTTCTTTCTTCTACAAGGCTCATATTTAAATCAGGAGGCTTTTAATACCTATATCAAGCGTAAGTACCGTTTTTGAACTTCAATTTAAGATCACTTAAACTTTTAATTGCCACTAACTTTTAATATCATTTTCTTCATCAGATATTTATAATTTTCACTTTTGCTCACATTTTGGGAAGATAACAATAACTTGCCTTCTTCATTTTAGCCACTTTAAATCAGTTAGAAGGTTCAATGAAAGGTCTGTGCATCTCTCCTCCTTGGTCTCTCTTATACTTTCCTGTATCAAGTCCCTTCATAACACAAGTTCTTTCTTCTACAAGGTTCATATTTAAATCAGGATGCTTTTAATGTCTATATCAAGCACAAATACCTTTTTTGAACTTTAATATAAGATCACTTAAAACTTTAATAGCCACTAAACTTTATGTCATCTCGGTCATCATATATTTTCTCAAATTTTGATGATAATAATAAGTTAGGCACTCTTTTTAGCCACTTTACATCTATTAAAAGGTTCAGTGAAGGGTCTGTGCATCTCTCCTCTTTTCACATATTAACACTTATATGGTTCATATAAACTTGAATATCAACTTTAACATTATCAATAAACATTACAACAGTCCTAAATTCAGCTAACATCTTGTTAAACAATTTTTCCACCCATAAGATACTCACATCGCCAAAACAGATCCATACTTCGACAAAGATTTAACTCGGACCAATTGCTTCATTCTCCTTTTCATCCACTTTGTAGCCACTCTCACTCTGAGCATATCCTTCTAGTGAAGTCAACATTTTTATTTTCAGCAAATTTGGCATATTCTCAAGATCCACGATGTGTCTTTTACTAAATAATGTCAAAATAACTCACCTAACTTTATATCAGTACTTCGACGATTTCGAAATTTTATATTTAGATCTTGTTCATGACTCTATAGATAAGACTCTTAGTACGAGCTTCAATGAAAATGCTGACATGTCACCTATTATTATGAAGCCAAATGTCATACAAGTAAGCTAAATGATCATGTACGTAAATATAGTAACACTTGTTTCATTAAAAGAACTATCCTTCACAGAATTACTTTTTACACATGGAATTTTTAATTACAACAATTTTTTTTCTCAATTGTGCCTAATTGACCAAATTTTACAGTTTGATTTAGTTCACAATTCACAATGCTATGAGTATGATTCTCGATTTATTCATATTCAAATGTGACTAATAGCTGTACGTCTACCCAAATAACATAGCAAATATATAATTGAAGGGCTAACTGAAGTAATGGAGCATAATTGTCATAGACCAAAAAACTTACATCATAGATAACTTTTGCTATTACATCCTTATAAGGAAGTAGTTCATCCGTTATATTCAGATGGGCAATGTGACCTGCACAACGATAAACCAGGGTTATTCTTTAATAGAGATGTAATATGAAAAGTCTAATAGCTATACGCTGCGAATACTAACTCCTAAAATAGAAGGTGACTCAACAGAAAACTTTATTAGTTAAAAGTTAGAGCAAAAAAACGAAAAAGACTCTGAATCAGCAACCAATGAAGGGAAAGCCAAATGAAAAGGAGAAGAAATTTAACATAAATAAAATACTTAACTATTGTTTCAAATGACGAGGGAACCTCAACTCCAGGTGGTAAAATCTGCTTCAATATATAGTCTGAAACACATTTATTTAGTCACATAGTAGTAATTAATCAAAACAAACATTTTGAGTAAAAAACTCAATCATATCAATGATCCATTTGGTATGGACCACCATACTAAATGATCAACTACCATGTGACAATAACAGACTAAGTCTTACTGCTTGTAAATATGGAATCCACTACACCCCTCACGTGCATGCCAAGATCATACTTTCCATCATAGGCCCAATATATAGACAATAGACAATTTATGACAATTTCATAAATAGACTGCTCCAAAACGTCACGACTTTTGCGAAGGGAAAGGCAGCCTGTAATTGATGTTGCCTAATGTGGGTACAAAATATTTGATTTTGATCTCACTTAGATATAATGAATGGTCTGTTTATAAAATAAATATGTCTCATTTGTAACAATGTAAACTTTTACATGAGGTGAGTTCTACATGCCAAGATCATATTTTCCATCATAGGCCCAATATATAGACAATAGACAGTTTGTGACAATTTCATAAATAGATTGCTCCAAAGCGTCATGACCTTAGCGATCTTATACCATGTGGAACCCATCTCATCTAAAAGTTTACGTTGTTACAAATGAAACATATTTATTTATTTAATAAACAGACCATTCATTATATCTAAGTGAGATCAAAATCAAATATTTTGTACCCACCAAGCAACATCAATTACAGGTTGCCTTTCCTTCTTCTAACATGCTCTGGGAGATTATATCACATTCTGCACTTATCCTCAATTGGTTTCGCTTTCGATTAAGGGAGTATTCTTGCTTCTTATTTTATCCATTCTACTATATTTACGCGTCCATGATAGAATTCTAATTCCTACTGCGTTCGTGTTCATCTCATGGACATTCTGTCCTTTTAATAACCCAAGACCTGTTACTTAAAACATAAATAGTCTAATAATCCTTTTCTAAAACTTGACTAACTTCATAAATATTACATCTCATACAATCCCAATAAAATCGGAAAGCACCCATGCGCTTCCAACGTCGGTGTATCACGTATCGGACACCAGAACATCTCCAACACGGAGGCGACGTGTTGGAGATGAAGAAGAACTGAAGGCGTGTCGAGAGAAGAACTGAAGATCAGTGGCAGGAAGAAGAAATAAAGACACGGCACTGAGAATTCAATTCAATTGTATTTAGCCTCAGAACATGAATGACTTTTCCTACTATCTATTTGATAAGTTATTCTTCCAGTTTTACACTTTAACAAAAATCTACCCATCGATATTGTATATTTGTAATTTCAGCGAGGACAGAAATGGGATTTTAGGAAATGGCACCAAGTCACAATCATGTGGACTGCCATCTATACTGTGCCATACTATTATATTAGCTAGTAGTGAAGAAAAATTTAATTTTACTAAAATGTTTGATTTCTACTTGTTATTTAATTATTTATAATATTGTAATAAGTATAAAAAAATTATTATTTGGATTATTAAATTAAAAAATTAAAATTAATATTTTAATCAACGTGTCGAGAACGTATCTTTCAGAACTTTTTTAAAAATCGCGTGTTGACATGTCCGTACACTTGTGTCCAAGTCAGCGCTTCTTAGATATAAAATTTCTCAACTTCATGTAGCAAGCCCAAGTTTCAGGCCTTATAAACTTTTTGAGTCCTCATTTCTTATTGATAAGAAAATCTCAATCGTTAAAAGAATCACTAACGTAATCATCATTCATCCCTATTATGATTAAAGGGACATCTCTCGCCTATTTTGTCTTAATTCTACTTAACAAAACCATTAATTCTAAAATTCAAACATGCACTTCATCTCTTTCCTGATCTCATGAGCTAAAAACTGTCATCAATGAATAACATACATTCATATACCAATCCGGAAGGACCATCTTTTAAGTTTATTGTAAGTTCATAAAACAAAATAATATGCGGAATGTTAATCCAAATCAATAGGAATATGAAATCATCTATTTTTTGGTGTTACTAAACCTCACACTCGTAAGTACTCTATTACAAATATAGTGAGATAGATACGTCTAACAAAAATTATTATTTTTGGTTGCACATCCCATACCATAGACTTTTTCTAATTGAAGAAGATAATATGCAAATCTTGTTATGAATACGGATGGCAAGATACGACAATAATGAAATGAAACGAGAAAGTAAATAACACCGAAATTTACGTGGAAAACCCAATTCGGGAAAAACCACGGGCAGAGGAGGAGAAAATTTACTATAACCAATAGGAATATGTTTACACCGTCAAGACTCATACTTTCAATTGAATCTATCACAAGATGTTGTAGATTTGTTCGCTCTCTCAATCTCTCAAGATTTTCATGTCATATAATGCAATACCCGATGGTTTGTATTTATAGGGACGCCCAAAAAACTTAGTTGTAGACCTAAAGAAGTCCAAAACACGTTAAATCGCGAAAAATCCGGAACTACCCAATAATACTGTCGCTCGAGTGTCCATCTAGCTAACAGCTAGCGATAATGCGGCAATCATTGCCCCGGTCCAAAAGTTGATTTCTCCAAGACCAACTCAATTACTACTCCTAAAACTTCAAGAATTTGGATCACACTACAACAAATCTTATTTCTAAGGATCAATATTTTTAATCAATCTTTAAAGTGTGTTGACATTAGACTCTACTATTACCTCATTTGTTAGGTTTCAAAAGCACCTGCAACCTCTTCCTCTTTATATCTCATTTTTCTTCTTTGAAAACTCTATCCTTGAAAGTCATTTACACACTGCACATTTCAGCCTCTTGTTATGAACAAAAATCTTTCTGTACTTATCCATTTTTAAAAACCACATCATGTAACATCACCACTTGTAGCGTTAACAGGGAATTACCTTAATATTTGGGCTTAAAGCACTACCACTTTTCCAGTAAGTGAAATATGTTGATTAAACTTTATAATTTTCATAAAATAATTAGGTGATCTCTTTTTGAAGCATGTTTCTTAGCACTAAATCATAAGTTCTCACAAAGTTCGAATTCAATATAGAGGGTATTTGAGTTACATTTTTATGAAAAAATGCATTTTAGAATGGTAGATTGATGGGAAATGTGTGGTTGAAAAATAAGGAAAATGTTTTGATTTACGTGTAATATTATTTTAATGAATAATGTGTGGTTGAAAAGAAGAAAAAGAAAAATGTATTTTGGGAAGAATGAAAATCAAACAAGGCCATAATATAACCTTCTTATCAGATTTTTGAAGCATGTATTCCTAGAACTAAATCATAAGTCCTCACAAAGTTCAAATCAATATTATATGATCTTCTTATTCTGATATTCAAAGCCAAAAGTTTCATGTACTTTTGATATCTTGAGTTACCTTTTCCCACATGATTGTTCAATATCCCCCAACAAAAACCCTATATTAAAAGTAATCATAATAAAGAAAGAGAAAAAGGACAATAGTGAGATAATATCATCCAATTTCCTACTCTATCAATGTATATCCATCTATTTACCAAAAAAGGAACCAAAATAAGCTGTAATCATAAATATATAGTGTGACTGTGCAAATTACCTGCTCCCCAATATGAATATCCAAGTGTGAGTGAATAAGGAACTACTTCAATCTTGAAGATCTCTCTCAGTTCGTCAAGTTTTTGACTAGGAATTTCAGATAAATCTGTCATATCAAGGGAGATAATCATTAAAATGTCATAAAGGAGCTTGATGAGTTGATAATGTACTAGTAACTCCAAACAATAACAGTCACATAATTACATACTACTAACAGAACAATACTGGAGGAAAAGAAGAGGTAAAAGAAACACAAATGTAGGCATGACTACAAAAAAATGACTTGTTTCCTATCTCAGCTACTAAGAAAATTAGTCCACAACAATGATGGAAGTTCAGAAAACCCTTTAAAGAATACGATGTTGATTCACCCCTCTATTAAGAGCAAAGACAAACATTACCTGGATTTTGAACTTTTTCAGACAATATCATATATCGGTTTTTATTGCAAGTTGGATCTTCAGTGATTGGCTTTATTCGCGGCCTATCAAGCAAATATCTTTCCACGAAAAAACAAAAAAGAATCACTAGAATGAGTAACTAATCACTTCTCTTAAAAGCAAAAGGAAAATTATAAGATAGCAGTATACAAACTTTGCGAAGTTATTGAATTAACTGGAAAACAAGCTCATAAATATACCCGTTGAGAATTCGAGTAGCAAGCTTGCAAGACTCCCTCGGAATTCGAAGTGCCCACAAGTTCAATTTCACGTCGAAAATCCTTTCCTCCAACATTTTTTTCAGTTCTTTTTTCGAATTATACTGAAAATATAAATAAAATTCATGTGAGAGCTTGAACCTGAAGGTCCAGAACCAGAACCCTACAACATACACTTCGAGCAATACACCTGATAACTCCTACTCAAAATCCTTCTCATAATCCAAAACCCTGTATCCCTACCCTCCACGTTTTCCCAAGAATCAATGCGTTTCAATTCCACCATGCTATGACGCCCACGTTTTCCCAAGAATCAATGCATTTCAATAAAGACAGATGCAGTCATGCAGAGCTACAAAGCTATGTAGGTTAAAAAAAAAAAAAAAAAAAAAAATTTTTTTACACGTATGTGATACATATATGAAAATCTATGTAGGAACAGAGAAGACAAAGCCGAGGAAGAGTCGGAGAGAATTACACTTGAGAAACGACGTGAGAGACGACGGCAGTCAGGCGACACGGGTACAAACTATAAGGGGTAGCCGGCTAGTCTAATTCACTTCTCTTTCTTTTCAGGCGTATCTATTGGAGAATTGGGGGTCGAGGTTTTAATTTTTGATTTTTTGTTTTTTGTTCTTTTTTTTTAGTTTTACAAAAATTCTTCTATTTACGTGCTCATTTTCTTAGTTTTGTCTTTGGAGAAAATTTTATATTTAAAGGGATGATGTATAATCAATTTCAAAACTAAGAAACAAGATTTAGAACGTTAAAAATTAAATATTAATTATATTTTATTTATGAAATAATAATTTTAAAATATATTTTATCAATTAAATATATTAATGTCACATTTCTATACAATTTGATCATAAATTATTAAGGTTTTTGCTATTAAATTAATTGATTTCAAATTATTTCTTGATCACAGATAAAAAAATTTATAACTCATAATTTATTTCCAATAAAGCTAGTTTTACAAACATGGTTGACAACCTTGATTGACAGCCATGTATTGTCAAAATCTGAGCCATTGATATAAAAACAGTTTTAAAATGGATGAATGAGAAGCTATTAATCAAGTAGGATGTTTGTTGACCTAGGGTTGATTATAACTTTAAAGTTGTTATTATAATAAACAAGTTAATCTTGTTTATAGAAAGTTGAATTCAAGTTATTATAGTTTTCAATGCATACGATGGAAAATTGATCGATGTCGTCAAAGGATAAAAAACTATCATCACAAATCGGACACATGAAGAAAGTTAAGATAGAAGTCACATATTCAAGAACTTAAGAACCAAACTTCGGAACAAAATCAAAGACCTAATTTCTTATATAAAGTGTTAAAGTACTAACACCATGATATTTTAAATTGAATGCTTAAGTTAAAAATTACTCTATGCATGAAAAATAATTTTTGTGCATTAAAAATCATTCTAATGGAACATTTTGATCAAATATAAAAATATCTTTTAAAATGATATTTGAATTTGAAAGTTATCTTTTATCTTGAAAAGTTAGTTAAAAGTACTTTTTAAAAGTCCATGCCTTTTAAAAACTTCAAATCCAATTAAATGGGACCAAACCATAACAAAAAGAGGTGGTCGATTGGAAGTTTCCATAGGTCCAAATTTTGAACGTTCTAACCTCTAATTTTTAATTTGTGTATATTATTTATTGATAATGAAGTTTCAAATTGCAACATCATTAATCTTTAAATTTGTGAATCATATTCAGGTCCCGTAAAGTTTAATATTGTATAAAAAGCGGTACTCATTATTTGTAAGTCACTGAAAGCGTTGTATAGGATTGGATTGTACCATAAATTAATCAATATATTAGAAATGTCTTGATTGTGCCGGAGAACTTGGCAACAGAGGGCATATATCATCACTTTGGATCAAACCACTACAATTATGTCATTTGCATTCTATCTATCATTTACTTACCATTATTTCATTTACATTTATTATTTGATTAATCTACTTGCTTTTATTTGTTTACAAGAATTAATTGATTAACGTTTTCTCAACTTGATTGACTTAAGTCTAATTTTTGAAAAAGTTATTAAAAATCAATTCACCGTCCTCTTGGTTAGTTATTCTTGGGCTATTAATTGCAAAGCAAGGTGCTCACTTTTAAAGATTACACAATCTTGAGTAATGGCTATCTACAATCTTCAAGATCTTGAGGAGTATTCTGCAAATCATCATCGTTTCTTTGATGGCACATATTATAATTATTGGAAAATTAGGAAAATGATTTACATTCAATTAATAGATTATAATATTTGGGAAATTATTGAATATGGTCTTTATGTGCCTACAAATATTATTAAAGTTGATGACAAAATCGATCAAACCATATCAAAACCTAGAGAGGAGTACGACGAGGACAATAAAAGAAAAATATCTTTAAATGCCAGAGACCAAAAATCTATTTTATCGCGCTTTAGATAAAAATGAATTTAATTGCATTAGCACATGTGATTCCGTATATGATACTTGGGATGCATTAGAGGTCACTAATGTTGGCACTAGTAAAGTAAAGGAAACCAATATCAATCTTTGAGTTAAAGAATTCGAAAACTTTTTCATGAAATAAGATGAACCAATTGTTGACATGACTAATTGCTTCACCAATATTATTAATGGCCTCAAAGGCTTTAATCATAAATTTACTAATAATGAGCTTGTAAGTAAAATGTACAGGTCATTATTGAAAAATTGGAGCTCATTAAGAATGTTGGTGGAGAATACCAAAGATATCAACTCATATCTATTGAAGAACTTTATCGAACATTGATGACTTATGAGCTCAACAATGTCGATTGTAAGAAGAAAAAAGAAAAAAATAAAGAAGAATCAAAGGAGCCTCCTAAGTGCCAAATTGCTTTAAAATCAGTAATTGAAAAAGGAACTACAAAGTGAATATATAAGTGATAAAGAGCTCGATTATCTAGTCCTTCTTATCAAAAAATTGAGAGGATTACGAAATAATTGAACATTACAAAAGAAAGAGGAAAATAGAGAAGAAAGAAACGAGAAAATCATTTACTATGATTGTAAGAAACCTGATCGTAAAAGAACCGAGTTTTAGAACAAGAAAAGAAGTATCGATAAAAAGACACTCCAAGCGACATAAGATGAAAGCGACGATAATGATGTAGATGAAAGTGATAGTCAAGAAGAAGTCTTCAACGTGTACTTCATGGCAATCCAAGATTAAGTAAATCCCATTGAAAAATGTTCATATGAGGATTTATCTGTCTCCTATTATGCCTGGACAGGGTCCGGTTCAGTTCGATTCTAACGAGAACTGAATCGAACCAGAAATTTTCGGATATTTAGTAAGTAAAATCGTCAGGTCCAAATTTAATTATAGAACCATTCGGTTCTCTAGTTCCGTATTATAATTAATTTTTTTAATATTTACAAAGTTACATTAATTCAATTAATGATATAGCGAGCTCACAATAATTAAGAGAGGCGTTGCCGAACTTGAATTCGATTTCTCTAGAACAGTAGAAACATCACTACAGTAGAGTGACAAATTTGAATAAAACTTCAATCAATTTGATTAAGTTAGCTTTGAATTGAAAATTAGAAATAGAAAAATCATATTTTTGGGTTTAAACTAAATTAACTAGTTAGCAAATTTATTTAGAAAAATAAAATAATTTAGTTTATTTAAAATAAATTAATTAAAAAATTAGGAAGATTCGGTTCTTGATCTAGAACCAAGAACTGAACTGAACCCGTCGGTTCTCAATTCAGATACTCATTCGGATTTTTAACTTAAGAAGAACCACTCAATTCGATTCTGGAGTTTTGTCCAACCATACCTCCTATGATAAAATTCTTAGGAAAATTGAAAAACTTGCCTTTAATCACTCTATTGTGAAAAAAAAAATGCATTACTTGTTGAAAAATGAAATGAAGAAAATTTTAGAATCTCAAAAAGAAAAATGTTGATTATGATTGTTTAATAAAAGAAAATTCTTCTTTAAAAGAAAAAAGTTGGAATCTAAGAATATTTACAAATTCACTCAAGGTTAAAAAAACTTTGATTTAATGTTTGGTGATCAAAAGTGCATTTTTGATAAAGGAGGAGTTGGATATAAACAATTTTTCAAATAAAAATCTTTCAAAAATTATTTTCCAAAGTATAAAACTTCTCTCTTTCAAACACTAAGTGTAGATTTTTTAATAAGATAGATATACCGTATATAATTGTCTAACCAAAAAGAGGCTACACTTTGAAAGTAAAAACATGTGGATTCAAGAGTACACTAAAACTAACTACCAAGGACCCAAACTTCTATGGGTACCATAGATAAAAATTAAATTATTTTTAAAGGTACCAAGAAAGATAAAGAACAAATGATTCTTGGATAGTGGATGCTCAAAGCACATGATCGAAGGTAGAATGTTACTATCAAACTTCAAAAAGAAGGATGGAGGCCATGTCACATTTGGGGATAATGCAAAAGGAAAAATCATTGAAATGAGAAACATTGGTAATCATTCGTCTTCTTCAATTGAAAATATTTAGTTACAAGATAACATTAAACATAATTTGTTTAGTATTAGTAAATTATGTGATAAATGTATCATATTAAATTCGATTCTTCCAAATGCCTTATTAAGGATGCTACATCAAAAGAAGGGATATTTATAGGAAGCTGAAGTAAATGTATTTGTATCATTAATATCGAATTTGAAAGTGATGAAAAATATTTATCAATTTTGAAAGAGGATACTTGATTGTAGCATAGGAGAGCATGTCATGTTAATATGGATCTTCTCTAAAAAACTTTCAAATATTGTTTTTGTCAAAGGTTTGCCAAATTTAAAATTTAAGAAAGATAAAGTTTGTGATACTTGTCAATTTTGGAAACAAGTGAAAGCTCTTTTAAAACTTTAATTATATTTTTCAACTACAAAATCGCTACAACTTTTCCACATAGACCTTTTTAGATCCTCTAACACTGCTAGCTTGGATGGTAAACATTATGCATTCATTATTGTTGATGACTTTTCTAGATTTATTTGGGTCTTATTTTTAAATCTTAAAGATAAAGCTTTGAATGTATTTAAACATTTTTTTAAAAACATTCAAAATGAAAAGAAGAAGAAAAAAAGGATACTAAATTACAACTATTAGAAGTGATCAAGGTAGAGAATTTGATAATATCCCTTTTGATAATTTTCGTAATGAAAATGGATATGAACACAATTTCTCGGCTCCTAAAACTCCTCAACAAAATGGTTTAGTAGAAAGGAAGACTCGCACATTGCAAGAAATGGCTAGTACTGTGTTTGATGAAAATAGCTTGTTAAAATACTTTTGGGCCGAAGCCGTTAACACCATTTGCTAAATTGCAAATAAAGTTTTAGTTAGTTAAGAGAACGTTAAAACTCCCTGTGATCTTTGAAAAAATAGAATTCCAAATGTCAGTTATTTCAAAGTATTTGGTTGCAAATGTTTTATTTTGAACACAAAAGAAAATTTGATTCCAAATCTGATATTGGAATCTTTCTAGGATATTCATCGACTAGTAAAGCTTATAGAGTTTTTAACAAGAAACTCTAGCCACTGATGAATCTATGGATGTTACTTTTGA